CCCCAAAACCCCAAAACCCCAAAACCCCAACTGATCATCCAAACTTGAAAGAACTAACCACAAAGTCAAATTTTCATCATAAATTTTATTAAACGCAAAAATTGGCAATTTTGGTGAAAATAGAAGGGAAGTTTAAATTTTTGATGGAATTTATGAAGATTTGTGAAGAACAGATTGGGGTGAGTAAGGTAGGAATATTGGGGAATTAGTTGGTGAGGTGGGCCATTGTGGATGCTGTGAAGAAATCGTTGCTTTCGGAGCTGGGTTCTTCTGAGAGGGAGGATGATCTGATGGTTTTGGTGAGTGTTGAGATTGAAGTTTTGAGAAGTGTGGAGAGGTTTTTGCGAGTTTTTATTGGTAGACTCCCTTGCAAAGGCATTTGAGCATGCTGGGTGAATTTGATGATGATTTTGAGGCTGTTTTTGGAAGGGGTAATATCTAGCTTTGGCTATTATCAAGTATTATTTTTTAAGATAAGTACTAATATTCACAGAGATTAAAAATTTGAATGCATTTCGTAAAATAGTGTTAAAGTCTAAATGCCTGTTCCTCATGCAGTGGCTTTTTTACTGAAAAGAAAATTTGGTAAGGATACAACAGCTTATTAATAATAGTTTTAGTAGCGAAATTAACATTAAATTAGTGATAGATATCATAAAACTTACTTTAGAATAGAAACCCTCTGAATTTGAGATTTTTATAATTTTGCTTAGAGCACCATCAAGAAGAGTTCTTGTTTCACCTGAAATTCTTTAATAACTCAAATACCTTGCCCAAAATTGTGATTAAAAACTGTAATGGCTAAAATATAATGATTGCCCCTTCAGTAGTTTGATGTGTTCTGATATCAAAGCGACTATCTTCTGAATTTTCTCCAGTTATCTATACAGTTAAAATTGCAATACTTCATCAATATATGATTCTATATCCTCTTCATAAAATGACTCTGGCTGTACTAAAAACTGAATATCGTTCTATATAACGAAATAATAGAACTCTTATTTCTGATAAACATACTTCTAGATTCTCCTGGCTATTTCTTTGCTGAGGGCTGCTAAATAATGTTTCACACAATTTTATTAAAATACAAAAGTCAAGTTTTGCCCAGAAATTTAAATTAGAACTGTATAAACTATAAACAGCCTGCTCGGCTTTTTGATGAACAAACTAAATTTTTGGTTAAAATTTTAAAAATTATTTTTACTAACCAAAGAAATTTTGGAAGCTGTGTATTTTTAGGAGTACTTAAACGTCGTCACTTACTCTGGCTGGGAACTTTCTTGACGATTGGTCATTTCATATGAAGCTTCTTCTATACCTTCAGCAATTGAGTTCTTTGCTTCTTCTGACAGATCTCCTTCAGACTAATGAAAACGGTTATCTTTATGTTAGATTCTTTTATAGAGTTATTGACTCAAAAAATAGACAATTTTAGAATTTTTATTATAATAGCTACATATACAAAAACATATATCCAAGGACAGAAGGAGAAAGAATTCTTGTTGTTACTTTAAAAATAAATATGTCAAAAGTTGGAGATTTAACTATTTTTCTTCAATCCGAAAGAGTTTAGAATCTTCTGAATCCTCTCCACAAAGAGCAATTTCTTATTTTTGTGTTCAATACCTCATCAAAGTCTTTTTGATAGATTTTATTATGGTCAGTTAAGTTATCCCAACCTTGTTCGTCCTGGCTAGATTCAAAAATGTCCATTAAAAATAATTTTATAATTTAATGCATTAAACGTAATTTTTCTTTCTTCGTAATCCAAACTTTTACTTCTCCACGCCTAAATTCTCAACCCAGCCATTTTAAGCTTATATCCAAATTCTCACATTAATACAGCACTATCTTGCCTTTCCCTCTAAACATGCTGCATTTGGTTAAGAAATCAGTTCATTTTCTGGTCAAAATCCATTGTTTCAACTCACTAAATATAAAATGGGGTTTTGGGGTTTTGGGGTTTTGGGG